TTTTTTATAACCTCTATCTCCCTGTATAGTTGATCCTTTGCTTCCTGGATTTGTTTGCGTAATTCATTGTCGAAGTGATCTTTCATTGTCTGATTTTGCTGTCTAATGTCTTCCTTGATACTCCAGATCATCTGAAGCATGTATATCCTGAATTCTTTATCTGACATTCCATCTGCTGCAGCTGTTACCTCTTCTAAAGTTGAGTTGACCTGCATTGCTTGTGGTCCTTTCTTTCCTTGTCTTTTCATACTGCTTGTGTATCTTTCCTGCAGGCGCAGGCGGCGGCTCTGCTCTCTCCTTATTCCAATTGGGGTGTCGTGACTACCACACCGGCAGGTCACTGGGCCTGTTCTGGGCGCTGGCGGCGGCTCTGTTCTGCCCCTACTGCAATTGGGGTGACGAGTGTACCACGCCGGTAGGCCACCGGGCCTGATCCGCCGGTCGGTTGCAGGTTTGCCTACCCTGCATGCGCTGGCGGCGGCTCTACTCTGCCCCTACTCCAAATGGGGTGACGTGTCTGTCGTACCGGCAGGCTACTGGGCCTGTCCCGCTGGTCGGTCGCAGATCTGCCCACCTTTCGGGCACGGGTGGTGGCTCTGCTCTGCCCCTACTCCAATTGGGGTGTCGTGACTACCCCGCCGGCAGGTCGCTGGGCCTGTTCCTGGCACGGGTGGCGACTCTGCTCTGCCCCTACTCCAATTAGGGTGATGTGTGTACCACGCCGGCAGGCTCCTGGGCCTGATCCGCCGGTCTGTCGCAGGTCTGCCTACCTTGCAGGTGCGGGCGGCGGATCTTCCCTGCCCCTCCTACCACGCCTGTGGACCGCTGGGCCTGATCTGCAGGTTGGTCACAGGTCTGCTCACCCTGCGCGCACGGGTGGCGGTTCCGCTCCGCCCCCACTCCAATTGGTGTCACGTTACCACCACACCGGCAGGGCCTGATCCGGGCTTGGGCGAAGGATCTGCTCTGCCCCTACTCCAGTTGGGGTGACGTGTGTACCACGCTGGCAGGCCGCTGGGCCTGACCCGCCAGTCTGTCACAGGTCTGCTTACCTTGCAAGCGCGGGCGGCGGCTCTGCCCTGCCCCTCCTATCACGCCCGTGTACCACTGGGTCGCGGGTCTGCCCACCTTGCCGGCGCGGGTGGTGGCTCCGCTCCGCCCCCTCTCCAATTGGGGTCCCGCGGTCACCACGCCGGCGAGCTGCTGGGCCTGCTCCGGGCGCTGGCGGCGGCCCGGCTCCTCCCCTCTGGCTCGATGACAAATCGAGAGAGACTCGGGTGTCTGTGCCTCACCCCCCCTACCAGGAGACCAACTGTTTCTTTCGCCGCTGGTATTGATGAAGTTCTCTCCTCCGCTGCTTTCTGATGACATCAGATCTCTGCCATGTTGGTATCCTATGCGAATGGCAGCATTTCGTTCCCCTTGCCGGGCCACCAAAGCAACGGGTGAGTCCTGACCGGCCCTCAGCAGGACCCGGACCGAGAAGCAGTTTCCGCGGGTTCCTAGACCTGGGCCAGGGCAGTTCCGGGAGCCGGAACTCGGCCGCTCCGTGCTCGGTGTATGCTCCGATAAGAGCAGGCTCCAAGAAGCAGCCCCCGTGGGCTCAGTTCCGGGAGCCGGAACTCCCAGGTTTAGTTTTGAATTTACCATGGGCCCAAGGTGTTCAGACTTTTTGCTCATCTACCCCTTGAATACTTTTAAGTTCACATATACAATTTTTCTTCAGAAGGCTCAAATAACTGCAGAGTATAATTGCAGAGTATAAATTTATAAATAAATTCTAACATTATAAATATCTATTTGTAGTAGTAAAACTGTAATAATGTTCTTTTAAATGTATTCATGGAATCTGAGTAGCAAGGTTATTTGATATCCACAATAATCAATTTAAAAAAAATAAAAGGAGTTTTAGAAACTTTTTGGTGTAGTAAGTTTTTAAATATTAAAAATTTTGGATCATATAATTATTATTTGCAAAAATAATCAATGTCCTAATGTATTACATTTTTATAAATATTCAACACCAAAAGTAAAATTTGTTGATGTATTATTTCTTAATGAAGTGGAAAGAGGTGAAGTTCAACATCTGGAAAATGATTCCCTTGTAGTTATTATACCTTGCCAAAAGTCCTTGTGTATTCTTGTGCACATGCCAGTTTGAAGACTGCTGACTTAAATGACTATCTCTGCCTTCTGTAGGCCATTATGACAATCACAAATGTCTTTTAGTGTCCAAGGACAGGCACTCTGCAGACTGACCACCTGGGCTTGAATTCCAGCTCTTAGTCCCAGCTCGTTCTTTTATTAATTTCATGACATTGGGTAATCGCCTGCACTCCATTGTCCATCTGTTTTCTCACCTATAGAACTATGATAAATGCTGATGCACAAGTGAAATGAAATCCCACTTATAACATGCTTAAATAGTGTAGAATAGTTACACATGTCTGTTAGCGATATGGTCAATTCTTCAAATTCTTTTGAGCATTTTACAGGTGTATCTTATTTATCTATGAACATTTCTCAGGCATATTTGATTTGAGATTGATCTCTTGGTAATTTCCTTGTGTCTATCCTGGTAGATAATATTCTACATTTCTTGTAAGAAAGTAGTCAGATCTTCCTCACGCATGTGTATGTATAGATGATTTATGTGTGCATGCACGTCTGTTCAAGCATGTGAGTATGTAATGCTTTTCCATAACAAGGATCCAAATTATCATTAGCACCAAACACTTACTGAACACCCACTATAAATAAAAGTTCTATTTGGCAGAACAAGAAAATTGGTCCTTATAGCTTGCTGCTGAAAAGGATTTACAAAGATTAATAGTCCAATTTTCAAAATAATTCTAAAGATAGCACAGTCCACAATCTGTGATTTGAAAATAACAAAAATGGGTTCAGAGCAACCTGTAAAAGTATGTGACAGGTAATGGGAAAATTAGAAAGTGTATTGAGGAAAATATAGTTGTTCATGCCTTAAATGTTATAGATCACCTGATAATGTAGCATCTAAATGGAGTCAAAGTACAGACATTAAAGTTCAGGTTATGAATGTCTTTGTCTTTTTAAGAATTGCTATGAAATTAATTAAGTACAAGATGTTATTCTGACTTGAATACTAGAAATTTTTGCAAGCATTACTTGAACCGAACTGTTACATTGTTGGGAAACAAGAATATACTTAACATTATTTAAAATACATATCTTGTTTAATGGAGCCAATAATTTAGCCACTAAGTTACTTTTCAAAATATATTATCTTGTTTGCATTCATCTACATCTGCTTTTTCCCTAGTTAATATTAATTAAATATGAAAGAACTGGAAAATTGAGAACTTTGACATGAGCATTGTGAGACTGTGTGATGAGAGGGACAGAATAGTCATTCTCACATATATTATCAGGAATTTCTGACCTTTATAATTGCATACCCTGTTAATTTCATGATTATCTATGAAATTTAAACCCCCTACCCACCAACATGAAACAGGATTCAAAAAATTACATTGATAAGAATATTGTTGTGAAGTTTATTTTACTTTTGAAATAATTTACGTCTTAAAATAGTCCAGAACTTGAGTGGGGGTTATGGTTCAGTGGCAGAGCACTTGCCTAGCATGTGTGAGGCAATGGGTTTGATTCTCAGCACCATGTATCAATAAATAAAATAAAGGTCCATTGACAACTAAAAATTTTTTTAAAAAATCCCAGAATCTATGTGAATCATTGTTAAATCCATGTAAAAATAATCCTTAATTAAGGTAAATGTTTTATTAAACCATACATAATTCAGCAACTATCCATGAATATCACATTGCTTGATGAGCTGGGTGGAAGGGGGACTACAAAATTCAATTTTAGCTCATATAGTTATTAAAAATCCCTCTGTTTATTATTAGATATTATAGATAAGTTAAATATGAAATGAATTTTGATAATAAGACTCCTATTCTGATATTGGCTTCCATGATAAAATTATCATGGAGTATGATAAACAGTAAGTCTTGAACCATCTTTACCAGGAATAAAAATTTCCTATACTCTTGGAGAAAAGGTGGGTATACCTTTCTATTGGTGGAATAGGAATTTCTTAGCATTCTGTCTTCTAGAATATCTTTCTGCCATTATTTTATCCTACCCCAAGCAAGCCCTTTCCAAAAGAGATCTCATTTAGAGATCTCTTTAATCAGTCCTTTCTTCCAGTATATAGAAATCTTATCCAATTTTGTGCATATACCTTTAGATATTCTAACTGAATTTAGCTACAGTTTTTTTGTTTCTATGAAGGGTCTTTTTTTGTATGATATTCTCTAACCCGATCGGGTCCAGGTGCCATGAATTTATAAATGCAAAAGAAAAGTGATTTGGGATTCCTAAAAATATATGTGCTGTTTTCATCTATGCCATTTCATATGTGTATGAAAGTATATGTGTGTATGACAAGTATATGTTTGTACGTGTGTGTATGATGCAAAGTAAGCCAATAATGTTCTCCCTAAAATTTTTTGAAAACACTATAATAAATATATGATTTGTTTTTAATTATCAGTAAACTCTGTATTAATGGATTCTTTTGTCTTAAGGATAGAAAGTGTGTTTTCTTAGATAAATTAATATTTTATTTTTGGTCTTTTTGTTCCAATTATTTTGTTTCTTTATCCATCGTTTTTATGAATTTTATAAGGATAATTTAGGCACTTTTCTGTGAATGTTATTTCCTAAACTTTTCTACTGTTTACAAAATTAACCTCAACTTCTACTTCTCCTTAAATCTTAGTGTAATTTTTCAATCTATTACTTAATACATATTTTATTAATATATGTAGCATAATATGCATTTTATGTCTCCTTATCACTAGATTATCAACTTATTGCAGGTAGGAACCTTAACTTTTATTCAGCTCCCTGTTGCCCATGATACCAGCATGTGGCCTTGAATATGAATGCAATGGAGTATGATAAACAGTAAGTCAAAATATTATTTTTCTTTACAGATTTGGTTCATTTGACTTGTACATCTTCTAAAACAGCAAGAGAAGATTTAGAAGCAGTTGTGGAGAAATTGTTTACTCCATATACAGAAACAGGGATAGGTAAGAACAATAAACCATGATTCATGATAGAAAGATAAAGTAACTATAATAATCCTCTTAGATATCTCATGAAGCCTTTTTTTAATAAATATTTTTTAGTTGTAGTTGACACAATACCTTTATTTTATTTATTTATTTTATGTGATGCTGAGGGTCGAAACCAGGGCTTCGTACTCTACCGCTGAGCCACAACCCCAGCTCCTCTCATGAAGGCTTTTACAACCTGAACTGAAATATGATGTATTCAGCAACAACTCTCACATGTTTTACTAAGAGATTTGAATACATTGTCTTCTTAAACATGGGGAAATAGTCTCTAATGTTAATGGAAAAATGTACATTACAAACATACACAAAAATATATATAATTAAATGCCAGTGTATACTTTACATGCATACATTCTCACATGCATGAAAAAGACTATCAGGAAATTTCTCAAGTAATTTTGGTAGAATTATGGGCAATTTTTTAAATAATTTTCTTTATATTAGTTTTTTTTAAAGAGCATATATTCCTTTATAGGTAAAGTTACCTTCTTTGATGTTGATTCAACTGACAGAAGATTCAAATATTAATTGGCAAACATAGACCTCCATCCTAATTAATAATTTTCTTTTACTGCGTAGTATGCTACTGATGTGATGAATGGTTAGTCCTCAAATGTGTACATACTTCTTTTTTTCTAAATTTTAAAAATTTTTTTGAGTTATAGTTGGATACAATATCTTTATTTTTATGTGGTGCTGAGGATCGAACCCAGGGACTCGCATGTGCTAGGCGAGCACTTTACTGCTGAGCCAGAACCCCAGCCCACATACTTCTTATTTATTGTGAAAAAATGTTTTTCCACCATGATTTTTAAAACTTTTTTCTCCCCATAATAGAGTAACTCTTGTAGTGTGAATGGAGGAAATGTTGCATATTTTGTGTGTAAGTGATCAAAAAGTAGCCTGATGAATGTTCTTCATTTATATGAAAGAAAGGCGATTTTCATTTTAGTGTTTGTATTCCCACCTGAGTCTTGCTCACTTTCTTCAATTAATTCATATATCATTTTCTTTGAATGTTACATTTGTACACACAACCATTTTTTACTCATATGTTCTTTTTTGTTTTAGCTTATCTCCTGTGTATGTTGCTTTTCTTAATGCAGACATGGAATCTTAACTTTTATTCAGCTCCCTGTTTATTCAGCAAGGAATGTTTATATTTACATAAGAAAACATATTGTTCCATTTTCAGGAACTTATATTAATATAATTAAATTCTTTGTGTGCTTCTTGAATAATGTACTCCAATCTAAAAACTTTAGAATTTAATTTATGTCTTATTTTCTTAATCTGAAAATATCATATAAATATTTGGTTCATTGTTAAAAGTTTGATTTTAGAGTTATGATACATGGTAATATTCCTAAACATAATATGGAGTTAAAATTTATCTTTTGATTCTAACTACATCTGCCCCTTACTTACAAAAACCCTTTCTTTGTCATTTCTAAAATTTTTCATGTTTCTGTTATACTTTCATTCTATGATAGTGTCAAATAGAACAGTAAATTTGAATCTTGTATCATTTCTCTTCTTAAATGCATTTAATTTTTTGTTTAAAAAAATCAAGCTGGGGAACATTATTTGTTCTTTACATAGCATCCTCTGGCCATTTTAGATTTTTGAACATTAATCTTAATGGTTAAAGTGATCCCATTTTGAAATGATGTATTGTTTAGAAGCTGAGTGAAATTCTTTAGTAAGAACTATGTGCTCAGAGAGGTCCTCAGGTGCACCGAGGCACTGAAAAGCTAGTTTTCACTGACACATAGGCCTTTTTATCATCAGGATGAGGTAGTGGTCATATTTTAATTAAAATGTCAGAACAAATACTGTTGGAGTTATTGAAAATGAATCACCAGATAAAGTGAGCACTGGGCCATGGCAGGTCAAAGAGGCAAAGTCACCTGCAGAAGAGAACTCAATTCATTTTCCTGCCTAAATGAGGAAGAATGAACTTTATGAGCAATATGAACTTTTAATGCATTAAAGCACATTCTTCCCTGTAGCAAAATCCCATATTTTCACAGATTGATATCTTTTATTATGTTTTGATTATTTGACAATCATGTGAAACCTTATGCTTTAGAGTATTGTAAATATTTTGTTAAAATATAGACGAAAGGAATAACATTATTTGGACTTATTTCATTTTATTTTTCTCTGAGTTCTACATTCTGTATGGTGCTGTGCATTGTAATCCTTTATGAAAGTCAGTTTGGTCACCTTGCAGGGAAGCTCATTTCTTGGAAAACATAATAATCTCTTTTCAAATACAGTACTTCTTTGGCAATGTTTCTGAAAAATTCCAGTAGAGTTCTGTAGGTATTCCCTCTCTTTCTTGCCCTTTCACTTTATACCTGTCAGCCAAGGCCCTTGAGATAAACTCTGGCTCAAAATACTTTCAAGAGCCCTATTTACTAACCTTCTGTAGCAACATCAGGAATCTTGAAACCCTTCTCTGCTTTTTATTTTCTTTTTCCATATTTTTATTGGTTAATTATATTTGTACGAAATAATGGGGTATGCTGTTGCATAGTTCTGCATGCACTCACCCTTCTCTAATTCTTAGTCCCCAAAAGTATACCAAATTCTTTTTGCTTAATTAACCTGATTCTGCAGGTGAGAAAATGGGATGATTGTTCACCATTCATTGTACATTAATTCTTCCAGACTACAGAATATCATTCAAAGCACTGAAAGAGAATTAGAAAGTGAACAATATATACTTACCAGTCTCACTGGTAAAACTATTCTGAGAGTTTTCTTCTTTTACCAGGAAAATTGATATTTTCAATACACATTAAAGCAAGACTTTCATTCAGTAGTGTATTTTGAAATGTCTAAAATGCAGTGTCATCACTGCACCATCTTCTTTCTCTTTTCCCTCCACTGTACATGGCTTGTGGAGTTACCACATTCCATTTCATTCATTTTTATCTCAAAGAGCAACACGTTCTGTGAATTCCCCTTATAGGTGTAATTTGAAGTTGGTGACTGATAAGGGGATTTAAGTACTTGTGGGGTTGTGAAAACAAATGTCTTAATTGCATTTTTATATGTGTTCCATTCAGACTCAATCAAGGGCTATTCTGCCAGTGGATGAAAACAACTTACCTAAAATGGTTGACTTACTCCTTACACATGGTGTGCAACTGTACATCGTTTCTTGTTTTTATTCAATTTACCAAAGTTATTTTTGTTCTTGCTTTTATTCAGGATTCACTTGATTTTAATTTGTTCAAGATCTATTCTAACTTTCCGATTACTTCTTTAGTCTTTACACTATCTAAATGAATGAAGTGAGCTATTGGAAATAAAACATTTCTGCTACTGGCAACCTGTGAAGCATTTCCCAACCAAAGCTCAGCTGCTTTAATATTTTCTGACAATTGTATACTTCACAACTGCATGTTATTTTTTCCAGCTATCTCTCTGCCTTTCAGCTGACTTCAAAGAAAGATGAAGAAATTATATGTATCTTCGAAGGTTTTAAGGTCAAAGCTTGATAGCTCCCTTGTTTCTAGAGCATTTTTCTTCAGCCTGTGTCAACTTTTCCCTCTCTACATGGTTTATTTTCAAAGCCTTAACCTGTGAGATTTCTTTTCCGTAATCTATTGGATTATTCATTTCCCCCAACTAATATTCAATAAATACCCTGACCTGAGCTGGAATTTTCATGAAATACAAGATATTCTCTCCTAGCATATGCTTAGAAATGGGCTGGGCAATATGAGAGTTTCCATTCCTTAGCCCATTTCTCTGCAATGCTCCCCAAGTCTGGTTTCATGAATCCTAAGCAGTATGTGTAAGTATCTTCTCATACGATTTAATGAAACTAAACTCATCAATTTATAAAAAAGTTCTGTTTTTAGCTCTGAAATACCAGTCCTATGTTTTTTTTGTTTTGTTTTGTCAAAAAATAGGTTTTAACATCTAATGTGTGCCTACATAAAGTTAGACTAAAAGATGTTTGCATTTCAGTGATACCTAAAAAGATCACTTCTTCTACTCGGTTTATTTATCTTGTCACACTCATAATTGTGGATTATTTAGGATGAACTAGAAAAATAAAAATAACATATTTAATGTTCTTACAGTGCAGATATATTAAATTAAATATAATCAAATCCTACTTATCTTGAATTCGGGAATAGGGCATTCTTGTTAATTGAATACTGCAGTTAGCTCAAAATTTCTCTACATTGATTAACAATTTAACATTGATTCTTAAAGTGCCTCATAGACTTGAGTAATCTTTATAAACATCCATTATTATCATTGTACAGAATTTGAATTTTTATTCAGACTCGGGCTAGAGAAAACTCTATAGTCAATAGATATATTAACAACAATACATTTTCTCCAACCCTGGAAAATTTAATTATAACATTTTTAAAGAATAAAGGCAGAGAAATGATCATCAAGATAGTAACAAATGAGCTTTAGAAATTGAGGTTAACCAGGTTGGGCTTTTAATAAGCACATTGTACTTTAATTATACTTGAAAACGGGGTCAAAATCAATCCAACTCATTTATTGTCTGTTGTGTGCTAGGCTCTGTTAGGGAAAATTAAAAAGGAGGCGGGTAAGGACTAATTCTAGCTCATCTGTGTATACCCAGCTCCTATGTCAATGCCTAACATGCAAAATAGACACTCTGTATTAACAATGAGAGGCTGTGTGCTCAAAATACTATTCCATTTCATGACCTCATTTTTGTTACTTTTTTGTTGTTAATTTTATGTTCCAATATGGCAAACTATTAGAATGTGAGTTCTATCAAAATTTTAATCCTGTGCATACCATTGTTAATAATAGATTTATTGTGATATGTGCCATATTATTTACCTATTTAAAGAGTAAAATTCAAGTTTTAAAAATATATTTATAGGGGCTGTAATAGAGCACTTGCCTCAAGCTTGATAGCAGTAGAGCACTTGCCTAGCTCTTGCAGGGCCCTGGGTTCAATCCTCAGCACCACATAAAAATAAATAAAGGTATTGTGTCCAACTACAATTAAAAAATAAATATTTAAAAAAATTTACAAAATTGTCCAAACATCAACATTCAATTTTAGAATGTCAGTTACCCCCCTCCCCCCAAGAAACTCCATATCTCTCAGCATTTGCTCTCCATTTACCTCCGCATCCTTCAGCCCTAAATAACCTCTGATTCCTATTTCTGTGGATTTATTTATTCTGGAGATACTATTAAGTTACTATATAATTTATAATTAGATTACATACTTAAATTTATATAAGTTAGATTGTCTATTGAAAACGCAAGTCCATTTTTATTATCTTTTCACTTCATAGGGATACTTTAAGGATGAATATGAGCATAAACACTAATGCTAATGAGAAGATATAAGTCCAAAGGAGCATGGCACTATATCAAATTAACTTACTAATCAAAATAATTTTTTAAAATGTAACTTGTCTTAGGTTGAAAAGCCATCATTGCTTGAAATATGCATTTGTATAAGAGTTTGTACATTTACTAATTGTTTATATACAAAACTCTGATTTAATACCATGTCTAGTCATGGCCTTCTTGGTAATTGGCTGCATAGTGTAGTAATCAACAGGTGCAATGTGTTTTATAATATAAATAAAATTCATTTTTACATTTAGAAAATGAAGAAGTTGAAAAGCCAAGAATTCTGTGGGCTCTCTATTTCAATATGAGAGATTCTTCCGACATCAACAGGAACTGTTATAATGATTTACCATCCAATGTTTATGTCTGCTCTGGACCAGATGGTGGTTTAGGAAATGATAATGCAGTCAAACAGGTAAGGATGTTGGTATTTCTCAGTCTTGTATTAAGTGAGTTCCCCGCCCCCAAGAAAAGAGACTTAAAATTTAATACCATCAAATTTGGTACCATCATTTAATACCATCTCTGCATTTGAGCCTGAATTTTTTTTTTGAGATATTTTCTTGCTAAGAGTCTTTGAGAGTCGTGCTAAATTACACAGGCTGGCCTCAAACTTGTGATCCTCCTTCCTCAGCCTACCATGTTGCTGAGATTATAGGGGTGCATCCTGTGGCCAGCTAAACATTTTTCTATGAACTGCAAAGCAACTTTAAATATAATTTATCAAGTATTTTCACTACATTGAGTATACTGATGAATTATGAGAGGTGATTTATGAGTTCCACTATGGCAATATGGATAGAAGATGTTTAAAATACATGTTCATAAAAATGAATGTATAGGGGCTGGGGCTGTAGCTCAGTGGTAGAGTGCTTGCCTCGCATGTGTGAGGCACTGGGTTTTATCCTCAACACCCCATAAAAATAAATAAATAAAGATATTGTGGTCCATTTACAACTAAAAAATATTTTTAAAAATGAATTTATAATCTCAGTATTTAAAAAAATTGTTTCTAATTTAAATAGTTGGTCCATCAGTCTGTTATTTTGAAATACCTAAGCATTTTTTCCTATCTTTTCAAGAAAGATATAGCTAGTAAAAGCAAACAACATGTAATTTTACAATGGTCTTAATGCAGTTTTTTTAATCTTGGAAAAGAATGATAACATGGCTTCTTACAGTTACCATGATTCTATTACTACATTGACACAAGCCATTGTCTCGAGACCTACTATTATAGCTGCTGAGGAGTATGGTAAGTACCAGTGGAAGTTAATCATAGTGCTCCTGGGCAAGGCTATGGAGGTACAGGCTGAGACAAGCTGCCAGAAGTGAACTGTAGAGAATTCATTTGCCTAAACCAATACACTTTTCCGCCTTTGACAGGAAAGAAAAAATAAACAAATATTTTTCCAGGCACAAGTCTAAACTTTTCTCAGAAAGATTTGGCACATCTTTCTATTAATAAATGGATAATTTAACATTGTTTTGAGACCAGATATGGCAGGGTCTAATTTCATTCCCACCAGTAGCAGGAATATTTAGTAGCCAGTGGCCTCATTGAGCATGTAGTCTAATTTTTAGTCATAGCAGCAAGGCTATGAAAAATGACCACAATTCAGACATTTATAGTTTTTTGCAAAAAAATATTTGTGCCTCACCTTTAGAGTCTAATGGTGATGTTGGAAAATCATATTTAGCCAGTAATGTCAAACAAAAGCAGGAAGTCACAACTCTCTTTTTTGTATTTTATTACTATAATAGGAATTTAAGATGGCTCAATATCTACATTTGTGGTATAAACTGATCAAGTAGTTTTTACTTTGGTGGCCCAATTTATTGCAAGCAGAAATTGCCAATAAGTTTTTAACCAGGTTACTTAGGTTGTTTTTACCCTTGAATAAACTTTAATTTTGGAGGGTGGTGATACTAATGATAGAACTCAGGATATTCTACCACCAATTATATCTCTATAGTCTTTTTCATCTTTTAATATAGGGTCTCCCTAAGTTGCCCCGGCTAGACGCAAGCCTGTGATCCTCCTGCCTCAGCCTCCCAAGTTGCTGGGATCCCAGGCATATGTTATTGTACCCAGCAATAAGCTTTAATTTTTTAAGCCAAAATATCAGACATTTTAAGTAAGAGCTTATAATACAAGTGCTAATGTGATCTAAATTACTACATGCTATAAGATTATAGTTAAGGGATAGTTTTATTGTGAGATAATTTGCTTTCCAAGAAGATAATATTCAGGGGGTAAATATTATCAAATTAGAGAACACTATAATGCCAGTTTGGGTACTAATCATTATATGCTATTAAATGTAAGTAGTTTTACATTTGTTACATAGCATTTGCACTCAAATATCCGTTTGGGGAGAAATATAATAATGCCTACTTTAAAGAGCATCAATAATATTTATAAACAGTTTATTCAGATAAACTACATTCTGATTCCAGTACATCTCCCATGAGCCTATCTCAGTCACTAATTGTGATTTCTATTTTCTAAATGAAGAATGTTATTTCTAAAAGTTCTCAGAACATCACCTAGGTTTTGCCCATTTAAAAACATAAACCCCTGTTCTGTGGCTCAGCAGTAGAGTGCTCGTCTCTCATGTGAGGCCCTGGGTTTGATCCTCAGCACTACATAAATAAAATAAAAGGTATTGTGTCCACCTACAACTAAAAAAAATATTTTTAAAAATTAAAAAAATAAACCCCTGCAGATTTTTTTTCCTTTTTTCCCTTTTTCTTTCTAACAAAATGCTTCATTTTAGCAGTTGAAAAGTTTGTAAATGTATATGTTCAATATGTAGACCTGACTCCCTTGTCTTCCTATTTACCAGCTTATGACTTAAAAATACACTGATATTATAAAATGAACTGTATTTAACATCCACAAGTTAAAAGTGTGTATAGGATGGCTGTGCATGCAATTCAGTGGTAGAGTACTAACTTGTGAGGCCCTGGGTTCAATCGGTAGTACTACCAAAAGGAGGCGGGTATAGGAGTAATGATAACCTTACAGAGAGGGATTTAATAGATGTGTAGCAATTCTCCATCACTATCAAAGACAACAGAATTGAAATAGTCTGGGTGAAAAGAGTAGCATCTGCACCAGCCCATGATATAAACATCGTGGTATGTTTGAGGAAGTACTGGTTAAGGTATAAGTAAAGCCAAACATCTGAGAGGTAGAGGTTGGAAGAAATGGGAGATTAAGACCAGAAAGTAGGCCTGAAGAGTTTATATGCCATACTAGGGATCTTATAACTTACCATTAGTAATGGGGAGTCATTGAAGAAAAAACATAGAAAAACAGAATTTTATCTCCCATAGACCCTTCTGAGAGTGTTATAGAGGTGGAATACATGGGAAAACTCTAGAGGCAAGGAGACTAGCTCGGTTCAGAAACTGTTGGAATTGTACTTGCTGTGCAAGATGGTGCATGCCTAAACTATGTCATTGGGCATAGAGCAAATAGAATCAAGAAATAGAAAATGAAATTGCCCAGATTTGGCAGTTGTTTGCATGTAGGGAGTAAAGGGAATAGAGAATATCTACAGACAGACAAGATAGGGATATGAGATAAAAAGACCATTTTAGGAGAACTGAAATGTGAAGGAGGAATCTGATCTAGGTCTTCCTTCTGCAGAAGGGGCTAAATGTCTCCAGCAGAGGCATAGGGTGAGTTCCTAGGGTGGAGAACAAAGCACATATCTCTAAAATTTAATTTCAGTATGTCCACAGTAAACAATACAGTATTACTAATTAAAAATCACCATACTAGACATTAGATACTCGATCTCACTCATTTTGTAACTGAAAATTTGTATCCTGTGACCAAAATCTCCCCATTTCCCCTACCCTCAGTCCCTTTTACGCTGTTTCTATGAATGTGATTTTCTTCAATTTCATTTGTGAGACCATGCAGTATTTCAGGTGCCTAACTTATATCACTTAGCATAATATTTCTATAGATTTATCCATGTTGTCTCAAGTGACAGGATAGTTTATTTGAAATTTGACAAGAGAGCAGATGTTTAGTGATCCATATACTATGGTAGCTACATTCATTAATTTGATTATGAAAATCATGCAGTGTATATCATTACATTGAATACCTTGAATACATACAATTATGTCAAGTAAATATTTAAAATATCTAGTAAATAGCCTATCCAGAAACATAGCCTTGAAGTATATCCAAGAGGGAAAGATTAATTTTCCTATCTTTGTCCCTTCTTTCAGGTCCACTTCAAAACTCAAAAGCTTTTGTTTATTATCCTTCTACACATCCCTAAAAAAATCATGCAGGAGTCCAGATGTTAAGTTAGGTTTTGCAGCCCATACGTCTCTATTGTACTTTCTCAACTTTGCCATTATTAGTGCAAAAGCAGCCATAGACAATAGGTAAATGAATGAATGTGACTGAGTTCCAATAAAACTTTACATATGAAACCAAGCAGCAGTCTGGATTTGATTTGTGGGCAATAGTTTTTCAGCTCTTGGTCTAACCATTCACCTTGTGTGTACATCAAGAAGAAAAATGAAATCCAGAAAAACCTTAAAGTTTTTTTTTTTTTTAATCAGCATATGTCTTAAGACCTTTAATGACTCTTTTTTACCAATACAATAGAGTGCAAGCTCCTGAGCATGACAGGGATCCTGATCTGATAGTGAGGCAGTAGATTGTATTTCCATTGGTATATACTAATGAATGTTTTTATATTCTCAACAGTCTGAATGCCTAATAATGAACTTGGTCAAATGATTCCATCTTTGGAGGGTAGACCTGAATTGATATATAGAAATAGAGGGAGAAGGTCTGGGGGTATACCTTGGTGATAGAGTGTATGCCTACCATGCATGAAGCTCTGGGGTCAATCCCCAGCAATGCAAAAAAAGAAAGAGAAAAGCCATAGAATTGTGAAAAAGCCACTTTTTAGAAGATCATGCATATATATACTGGTCAAGTATTATAACTACATGAAAGAAAATTTTAAGAGTTCCACTTAATTTTTTTAGATAGTTCCTGAAATGCACATATATTTTAAACTGATTTCTAATCTAAATTATTTTGTTCCTTCATTCTTGGCCAGGCTGAAACAATTTTCCAGAGTATATGCCCCAATGAAGACTTCTGTCCACCCCCACCAAATCCTGAAGATATTGTCCTTGATGGAGACAGTTCACAACCAGAGTCTTCAGAATCCAGTACCATTCTAGAAGCCAACTCAGAGACTCCCGCAGAAAGCACAACCCTGGGAAACCCAGAGGAGACCTCTGAATAAAGGCTATATACCAAACTCAATACTCCACTTTGGAAGTTCCCATGGGCTCCACAATCTTCTTGATGTAAAAAAAACTTTTAGAAGTCAGCAGCCAGTTGACATGCAGAATTATAAGAAGCAACAGGTCAAAGAAATCCATAAGGGAATTTTCCTTAAAAGAGGACATTCCAGTAACACAAAGCACTTATAAAGCACATTGACTTACTTGCCTATTTTAAATACAAAAACCTATGAAATTAACCAGATAAAAATTATAAATGAACTGATTCCTGGGAATATAACTATGGATTTAAAAGTAATCCTATGCATTGTTAATAATTTTGTGGTGTTAGGACAACTTCTTTTTGCCACTTTGGATCATTTTTAAAAGCTACACCTTCAGAATCAGCTCACATATCTCCTTTGATTATTTATTAAAATTACAGATATGAGCATATGAGAAAACATAAAAGCATATGTAAATTCAGTGGAGAAAAACTGAAGCATCAAGATCCAGGCCGAAGTATGTGTTTGGAATAAAAGTTTGTTTTCTGTGTTGACAACAATATAAAATGCCAATATTAAGATATTTAGGCACTTTTACAGACAAACCTAAAGTCCATTACTCAGTAATGTTTTAAAATACTAGTAATAATATTTATATGTGAATCTTCTACACACTGGAAAAAGCTCAATCATGAAGTATTGAAAGAATGAAAGAAAAGGTTTAGATAGGATCCCTGATATTTGGAAATTCTATGGCATCAAGTAACTGGAACACTATCCTAATTGTCTACAGACCTAATTTAGTCAGAGCTGTGCTACTGATATTAGGCAAATTGTTTTATCTTCTGAAACTGTTTCTCAATATGTAAAGAAGAAACAATAATCTGCCTACTGTGTGACAGTGATTATGAAGATGAAAGCAATGCCATCCTTAGACTGTTTTTTTCTGGAAAATTTTGTTTCAAAATTTTCTCATTGACTTGGGACTGAATATCAAAAAACCTTGTGCAGAAAATAATTGCTTGTCATAAAAATAGATCATGTTTTTGTATTAAGCTTTTTAAATGAATATTTGTGTCTGAAATTAGTATTTAGTAGTCTTTATAGACCAGTAAACATAGTAACACATGGATTTCTAATTTTGAAATATAAGTAAGGCAAACACTCTGTAAATTCTTCATATTCCTTTTCTGATAGGTAGGCCTGAAACCATAAAGGTCTCTGAATAGAGTGTAACATTTGGTAAACCCTAATACACACTCCAAATAAATATGAGAGTGTATACATAGGCAGCAAATCTACATACAGCAACAGTGCCTGCATTTAAATTTTCCTAATTCCAAGCTCTGATGGTTTACTTCTTTTGAGCAATAGTTTTAACTTAGAACTGCTTGTAAATAAATAAACAGACTTGAAGCCTCTTGTCACATAGTTTGGCTTTTATTGCCTCTCAGGGAGCTATGGCTCCAGTGGAAAGCACATAGTTCTTACACACTTCAGCTGCAAATGGTCCCTGACCTCTTGTTCTGGAAAAGGTCTTGAAGCTAGTTGTGACAGTAATAGATTCCTGGGAAATGGAAAGAACCAAGGAATGTAGCTCTTGCTTCACCTTTCCAACCCCCACATATAGAGCAGAATCCAGAGGAAAGGAAAACTTTCTAGCCTCTCAGGCTGTTCCTGTCCCCTCCTCTCATTGTACAGCACCTCCCCTATCTTACTTGCCCTCTCTTTCTCTCTTTCCCCCTTTTATAATGTCACACACAAATCAGGGACAGTAGAATCACATTATAACATAATTTGTTATAAGGATTCAGGTCTTTTTTGAACTCAAATCATGTTTTTTGAAGCCTAATTAGGACAATGCACTGAATGCTTAGTACATACCCATAAGTATACCAGGAATTGGTCCTGCCCTTCAATACCAGCAATATACAAGCTTCTACTATATGAGAATATTAAATATGAATATAATTGCAGTAAGTTGTACCAATCAAGATATTACACTTTTTTTGTAATCTTAGAGTTAAGGCTCTCCTGAATGCAGATGCACATTTATGTAAACAGACAACCAGGGTAGGCCTAATATAACTAAAAAATAAATATTAGATAGCCTTAATGCAGCTGTCTATATATAGAACAAGAAGCTAATTTTTACTCTCATGGCCCAGCCCACATTGTACCATATTTCATCTGTTCAACAATATCAGAGTCTCTCTTCCATGCCATTTACTAAATAATATAGAAATGTTTAAAACTTCTGAGTATGATTTGTGATGAATACAATACTACACAACTGCTAAGAACCTTATTACAGAATTCTAGCTATTTCTGGTTGCCTCAGAATGTAATAGATATTATTTAAGAGCTTTCTCTTCAGTTATCTTAATACTTAAAGTACTTGTTTCTGTAGATATTAAATCGAAGTAAAAAATTTTGATTTTGTTGCAAAACTTTAAACATGAAGGCATAAGAATAAAATTTATGTACATAGTTAGAAAAAATTTCAGTAGCTAATTAAAAAATTTGAAAAATTTTATTAAAGACTTGAATATTTAAATATTTACTTGTGCATGCTTATTAACCAAAAATGATATATTCAGTTTAATGATTCATAAGAGCATTAATAACTAATTCTTGAATGCTTCTGTATTTTATTTCTAGTTGGTGTGCCTGCCCAAGAAAACATATAATTATAATGAAGGTCAATTTATATATTTTTCTATAGTGAAATGGCCAGTTAATGGGTAACTTCTAGAATAGTGGTAGTTTCTCAGAGTGGCAGTCATTTGTCCAAAATAATAGCCTTGATTATTTAATTTTTATTATTGATGATAATGATTTATTCTGTCAAGGCCAAACTTCCCTGGATTGGCTGCCCTTGGTCTAAACTCCTGAAAAATTCCAAAACAATTGTTTAGAATTGATAAATAGTAGTGATCATTAAAACTTAAATTGTAATTCTGCAAATCAGTTGTTTACTGCTACCAGTATTGAATAATTTGTCTTATTCTCAGTAAATTTTGTCAAATTCCAAAAAGCATGAATCTATATATATGGTCATTTATGATTTGTATACTGTAACAATTTTCAGAGGAAATAAAGACTTCAATGCCCTTCAGGTGTGATGTCCAATTTTTTATATGATTTTTTATATATACCAATAAAGGTTGTCTTTTTATAATTAGCCAATTATTTAAATATTAAATTGTCAGATGTATTTTTGGTTTTGTTTCCAGGCATCTGTCAACATTGTTGTTTTAGTCAGCTTTTTTGCTGTCATAACCAAAAGACCTGACCAGAACCATTAGAGAAGGAAAAGTTTCTTTGGGGGCTGACAGTTTCAGAGGTCTTAGAAAATAGATAGTGAGCTCCATTTCTCATGGCCTGAGGTGAGGCAGAACATCATGGCAGAAGTGCATGGCAGAGGAAAGCAGCTCAGGATATGGCACTAGGAAGCAGAGAGACTCCACTTGCCAAGGACAAAATATATACCCCACATGCATTCCCCAAAGGACCCATCTCTTCCAGTCACATCCTACCTGTCTACAGTCACCACCCAGTTAATCCCTATTAGGGGAGTACACTGATTAGGTTAGGAGTCTCATAATCCAATCTTTTCACCTCTAAACTTTCTTGCATTGTCTCACAAGCTTTGGGGGATACCTCATATCTAAGCCATAACAAACAAGTTTGTGATAAAGGCTATCAGATGATACATGGATTTGATTCACTTAATCAACTGTTCTAGCTGTTAACATTAATTTCTTTATAAGGCAAAGGTGGATGAAACTTGAATCTGTTTGAAATCAGTGCTGTAAAGATTTTGAGATGTTTCCTATGACTTTAGAGTACATAGATTGTCTACAAACTGTTTTCATATCTCTGAGGAACAGAATCTGAAATGTTTTTCATATTTATTTGATGATAAGAACCTGAAATATTTTTCTCTGAAGTGGTTGAGTCTCCAACAGCTTACTTGCAATATTCAAGAGATTGCTGCTGATCTTACAGCAGAAATCATTCATTGATGATTTGTTTTTGAATCAAATAATGAAGCAGACATTCTCTGTCAATTCCACAAAGTGTATAATGCTCTTTAGCTAGAATGGTTTCTAAAGATAACAGGACTCTTTCAAAACTGGCAATTTATCTGAGATATTAATAAATCAAGTTTGTGAAAGATAAGGTTAATTGAATTTTTAAAAAAGTAGCTGTATTATCCTTCAAGCACCTTGGAGCTCATACAGTATTCACACTTTTTTTTAAACAAGTACTTTGATATGTTTGAATTCTCCTTTAATGATAGCTTTTTTTAAAACACAATTAAGTAGTTTAACTCTTAGCATCCCAAGTCACATTTTGAAGGCCACTTTTCTGTCCATTAATGTACAATTTTAGCTAAGGGGCTGCAATTGTGATGCCCTTGCCATATAAGTCACTACGTCTGCCCTTTCTGGTGATGATGACTCTTAGGACCATTTGACAGGTAATCATTAGAACTTGGATCCTAGTACACTGTAGGGCCTTTTTGCCTATCACTGCAGGAGGATTTATGCTGGTAACTCCTATTAATGTTAATAGGACTTGCATGTATAAAACCTCCTGCTATCAATGAGATAGTTGACCCCTAAAAGAAATATTAATTAGAGATGGATGTTGTAGCTGATATAGAAGCATCAGTGAATTGTCCTATTTGGGACTTTCAGGTGGGTAAAAAAATAGAGTGTACCAATTCTGAGAATTTGTAGAGTTTGAAATAATAAAAAACTAGATCTTAATGATCTATCCCCATTTCTAATATATATTAGAAATTACTGAACGTTTAAATGTTATCAACATTTCCCTCTTATTTTTAGAGTAATTTTGTCTAGAATTCATTGAAATAACATTTTTGTACATGTACACAAAATGTAAGATTCCACACTATAGCATAGTTTGTTGTAAATTTTGAAAAGTTCATTAAAAGGAGACTGACTTCAATTGTTAATAAATGTATTTAATAGTAAAGAACACTATGCAGCTGCTAGTATGATATGCATATAGATCTAGATATATATATATACATATAGGTGGGTGTGTCTCCAACATATATTTAAAAAGCAAGTAACAGAATATATTAATTTATATAAAAATTCAAGTACTTCCTACATTGCACATACATACGCACATCATAGGAAATGTTTGTGAAGTACACATACCATACTGATAACTGGTTATGTTGGGGAAAGATGAGGATCAATAGGGCAAGAATAAAAGAGTACTTAGAATTTTACATTTTTTTATTTAGAAATTTGCATAGCAAATATTCTTGTACTTTTAAAAATTTAATTTGTTTCATAATCCAATGCCAAATCCCTAGGTAGTATGTGGGACCTCAAAAAATAGTGAATTTACTTTGGAATATATGAATATTTTTATAAAGTACAATATACTTACGACAAAATAATTAACAGTTATAATGGAATACTATGCAGCTGCAAAATGGAATTAGTAAACTGTTATAGTGTGATCTCCAGGACATTATTTGACACAAGAATTCTGTATACAAATATATATATAATATTTATGCTTTAGGTAAGAAGGTAAAGTGTACTCAAAAATTTTTAAATGGTTACCCCTTAGAAAAGGAAAGAAGCAGGTCACAACAATGGAAGTTAGATCTCCTTTGTTTTGACTTTGAAACCAAAAGTAATTTCTAAAATGCTAAACTGAAATTACTGAGCCTAGCCATTACGTGGGATTATTGGCATAACTACATGGAAAAGAATTAAGGATTTTAAAGTGCACATAAAATATGTAGCCTAGGGCATAGGGATGGAGTACAGAACACAAATATCAGTGTGCTTGGTGATAATAATATAATGTGATAGATACAATAATAGTTTATGTTGCTATGTTTATTGAGCAATATTTATAAGAAAAGAATAAGTAAAGAAACTGTGATCTTAGGGGCTGAGGTGGTGGCTCAGTGGTAGAGCGCTTGCCTAGCATGTGTGAGGCACTGTCTTTGATTCTCAGCACCACATATAAATAAATAAAATAAAGGTCCATTGACAACTAAAAAATATTTTTTTAAAAAAAAAACTATGATCTTAATTTTGAATTAGAAGTATCAATGTATGCATATATTCAAGCTCATCAAATTGTGCACAATAGATGTGTACAGTGATTGTATATCAGTTATACCTCACTAAAGCTGTTTTTAAAAGGTGCAACCCTATCAGTCAATATAAATTCAATGTGTTTTTTTCTCATTTCAATAAATTTATATTTCTAGCTAGGAAAATGGCAAAGGCTGCATGGTGTCATGTCAAAAGGGCAAAGGAATCAACCAGAAGGGGTTCCCATTGGTGATAGACAAGACCATTTAAGTATCAAAATACATCATGATAGCTCATACTTGCAAATGAACCTCACCAAACAGCCATAAAGATTGCTAATGCAGCAATCCTTTATTCTAAAAATGGAAGCAATTATTCTCTCTTTCCTGTTAAGAGTATTTCAGAATATCCAAATAGTTTTTGAAGGAAAATTCCAAAAGAATAGCCACAATTAAAAAGTGCACAAGAAAGGATAAAATTAGAAATATCACAATTTTGTTAACCCAGTAGAATCTAGTGGTGGACCTGGTTATCATGGGCTACTTATACTTTTAGTTGAAAATTGATAGGCATCACCTGAACCTACTGATCCATCTTGAAATTACTGCAAGTAGAAAATCAGATGTTATAGACCTCTTCATGTGTTGAAATAAGAGAAATATAAAACTACCTGGGAAGAATTCTTGGGGTTGGGGCGGGGGAGTATGTGAGGATTATATAAACTCTAGATAGGTCAAAGGGGAGGGAGGGGCGGGGGGGGGAGGGGGGGGGCATGGGAGTAGAAAAGATGGTGGAATGAGATAGACATCATTACCCTAAGTACATATATGAAGACACAAATGGTGTGACTCTACTTTGTGTACAACCAGAGATAGGAAAAATTGTGCTCTATATGTGTAATATGAATTGTAATGCATTCTGCTGTCATATATTACAAATTAGAATAAAAAAATAAATAAAAACGTAAACTGAGCCAGAAACTAATCAAGCCTACAATCTAACTCTGCACTTATAGGCTTTATGGTGCTAAGAGAGCATGAAGATAAAATGTAAAAAAAATTATACAGAACAAATGCCCCATTTATCAACTAGCACAGAAAACAAATGAAGGGAGCGCATTTCCATATGAAAGGGGACCTCTCTAAGAGGTCAAACAATTGCAATATGCTGACTTCAATGGACCCTTGTTATTCAACAAAGGAAATTTTTTATAAAAGCAAAGAACAAACCCTTTTGAGATACTCAGAAGGAACTGAATATTGATGAATAAATCCATGTATTCATATAATTAATTTTTGTGTGTATGTGTGTTTAGTAAGAACAATTTTCTTTTAGCAAGTTTCATGTATATAATATAGTATTGTCAACTATAGTCACCAGGCTGTATATTAGATCATTTCACAATGTAGACCTATATCAAAACATCACATCAGAAGAATGAGAAGTTATACTCCATTTATATATGATGTGTCAAAATGCATTCTAGTGGCATGTATAACTAATTAGAACAAATTAAAAAATTATATCAGTAACCATGGATATATACATTTTGTAATTGTCAAATATACCTGTTTAATAAAATTAATATTTCCCAGTTTTTGTCCAATAAATGTATATAGTTTGTTACCAGCATTTTAAAATGAAACTTATTTTAATTAATATAAAAACACAAAATTTCTCACTATTGGGGTAACATGAAGTTTTGATAAATGTGTACATTGTGTAATCAGGTTAAACATAGTTATCTCCTCAAACACTTATCATTTCTTTATGCTGAAAAAATACTTTCAAAATTCCTTCATCTAACTTTTTGGGTTATACTGTACACAATTGCTATCTATAATTACCTTACTGTAAAATAGCACAGCAGAGCATATAAGTACCCATTCTCCATACCTTTCCCACTGTTCTACTCTCAACTTCTATGAGGTTAACTTTTTAGATACCAAATATGAGTGAAATTATGTAATAGTTGTCTTTCTGTGCCTGGCTTATTTCAAGTAACAATGATCTTCAG